AAGGAAGTGCCGTTTGTTAGTTTGCTGCTAGCAAAGGAATCTAAAATTTTCGCCTCACTGCTCGGTATTTAACTGTTTGAATATATAATTAAGAAATGTCTAAGCATGTCTAAGTTATTTTCAAAGTGAATTAGCAGCTAGGTTTAACTAGTACTTTACCAAGAAATGTCACAACGAGATAAAAACTGTGAAAAGAAGTGAAAAGTTTTTGAAGAGAACGAGTTTTCCACCGGTTAGATGACAGAATGTTGTATATGAATCATAAAACCCGCACAAAGTTTCGAAACTTGAATAGGGAGCCAGTCTACCGCCCAAAAAGCCTTGTGTATATTGTTAGAACACGATTATGTTCAAATTTAGAAAGAGAGCTACGATGATAAGTTGATACCACTAGTCTGCTATCACAAACTAACATCAGTATTAATAATTGATAGTAAGAGATCTGAGAAAAACTCACGTGCAGCTCGCCGTGTGTCAAACGACTTGTGATGTGCACTGGTTCTGTGACGATCCGTAACCAGGGTGGGGTAACTGCCAGAAATTACTCGTGATACGTTAATAAATAGATCCTTGCTAAAAGCCTCAGGCAATTTAAAAGCTATTTTGCGATTGAGTGCACTTGGAAACAGAACCAATCAAGACGTAAATAAGCCAGAAAGCATTATAAATGTTAAATGCTTCTGATTACTTCGTAAGATATATGACGCCCGCTGATTGGACGCCATAACTGAGAGACACGCGATCTGGCCTCACTTTGATCCTCGTTTCCAGGGTCCCCTATCTTCCTTCCTCTAAAAAGTACCCTAGTTTCCCGAGGATCCTAGGAACGAGGTTGCCTTACTTTGACAGATTAAGCGAAACTGTTAGCTTGTTAGGCCCTTGTTACAGTCAAGGGAAGTGTTCCCCAGAAATCATACACTTTTTATCTCAAAGATTTACATCTTATGTTATTTAGTTTCCAAAGAGAGAACTTAACTTTCGAAAATTGTCTCCAAATGTGCTGAAAGTTCAGCTTCGGACATCGCCATTTTGAAAGACTACATAGCCCCACAGTTTAGTTTTCCAACAGTCAGTAGAAACCAATTTTTCTTGAAATTAAATTGGCCGATGACAAAACAATGGAAGATGAGATTTTGTGCAACCTCAGAAATTCCGTTTCTACAAAACCTCTCGAAATTGTTGACTCGTGGTGAGTTTTCAGTTATATTATGGTGGGAAAACCGTTTGAACTAGGCAATGCTTCTGTTACCGATATGACCTGGGTTCTAGTTGATGCAAGGGAAACAAAGTTCGGAATAAAAACTTCTGTTCGTCGTAAAACTTTTCTTCCTTTTCTTAACTTCGTTTTAATACTATCTAAAGACATTTGAAATGGTAAGGCTGACAGGAATGCAAAAATAGAAAATATCAACAAATTAGCATTCCACTCTCGTTGACAAGACAGCATCTTCATAAAATTTGATTATAATCAGAGTACTTAACTGCACTAAACATCTCGCTTGCATTTTGTAACACAAACGTGAAGCACGCGCATTACAAAGTCGTCTTATTAACACCACATTCACTTAAGAACAGCGCGATTTTTTTTCCGAGAGCTTGTGCTCACGGTATGCAGTACCGAATAAATTTTAGAATACTCTTTTCAATCAGCTACTGAAAAACTTACAAATCGATAACCACTTACAGAGGGCTGAAGAGCTCGCAGAATGACTTCGAACTCGCGTGGATCTCAAATTCTCAACACGTAATCTGATAAAATGGCTGGTCCAAAGGCAAAATCTTCGTCTGAACGCAAAACTTTCAACGAATGATTGAGCTGTTCCCCTATGATTTTGGTGCTACATACATGACAATAGGCTCCTTAATCGACAAAATATCCGGCCTGTCAAGTGGATAGATCGTTAGAGTCAGTGATGCCTAATTAAAATATCGCGTGCAGGTAATTGGCTTAAAATTATGCCGCGCAACAACAAAAGTTGTTGTTACCAAAGCTTCATTGTAAGATAGGTTGTGGTTATTCATCGTAGTCAATAACAATCTTGAAAGATAAATGTAATCGTTTGTCTTAGAGTATGTTCACTTGGGATGTGCAATCCACATCCCAAGTGTACACATCGTGAGACAAACGATCAGATATCTCTTTTTAAAAAGTTTCATTGTTTGATAATGTTTTTCTGAACGTGTGCGAATCCTGATACATATTAGTTTAAGAGAGACCTAAATCTGTTTTAGAAAGTTTCGGAAATAATTTCTTTGCCTAGAAAACGTTCAATTTTCATTATAATTGTACAATACAAATGCTTTCGCGAAAGCCAAACACAATTATATGGGCGCAAATAAGTATTGCTGTTTTATGCTAATTCAGAACTATTGCATCTCCGATCATCCACATCGCTACCCTGCGAGTAGAGGTCCCTTCGATCTTCCCGATATATCTTGGAAGATAGGAAGGATCTCTGCTCGCAGGGTACCGCATCGCTTAATAGTCGCAAATAAAATCACGTCAAAAAATCACTAATGGCCTAAAAGATTGGCCTAAGGCCTTGTTTCGATAGTATTACCTAGATTGCCCCAGTCTCCTTCGCGACCGATTTTTTGAATGTCACACACTCCTAAATTTCTTCTTTCCGAGACGGGAGCCGGAGGTATGGCGGTGCGTTGCGTGATATCCAAAACGGCTGCGAAGATAACTAGAATCTTGCCATTGTCTCGAAAATTGGGACTATCGGTTAACGACTCAGGAGATCATATGGTAACTAAGTTTAGCAATCTCTCGCTTGGTTTGGCCCGCAATGAAGAAAAAACAGAGAGATTTAATATCAGCTAAAATAAGGGCAAAAACAAAGGCGCCCAAACTTAGCGCCCAGACCATCGGATTTCGCGGTCCGATACACAATCACCGAGTCAACAGAACTCTATGTTTGGATGTAACAGACTCTTGCCCAGTGGTAGAGTATCGCGCCAAGAAACCTGAAAAACGGGGATTTTATTCTTAGAGAGTCACTCAATTTTTCTCTTTCTCCCGCGCTCGCTTCGTAACCATACAGTACCAATGGAAAAAAAAAAAAAATCAAACGTATTTAGCTGTTCAATTTGGACTTTTCCTTCCGATTCAGGGCACTTTCGTCTGTTTCCGGACATTCCTCTTATTTGGACCATTGGGACGGTTCCGCGCGACTTCGGACTACTTCGTCCAGTTCTGGGTAGTCTCCCTCGCAGCCGTTTTTTTTGGATGTCACGCAACGCTCCCCCAAAAGAACCGATTTCGTTCCTCCCGATTTCGGACGGTTCGTCATATTACGGACTGATCCGCCGATTTCTTTCCGTTTCGAACTTTTTCCTCCAATTTCTTTTGATACATCTGTCCGATTTTAGACAGCTTTTTCGATTTAGACGGTTTTAGACGGTTCTGCCTAGTTACGGACAGTTTCGTCTGTGTTTGGTCGGTTCCGTCCACCTAGTTTCGGACGGCTCATAATATTAGTGAGTGCTCCGTTCGATTTTTGCCTTTTCTGTCCATTTTAGAACGGTCCCCTCCAATTGCGGTGAGCTCCGTCAGATTTCAGTCGGTCCCGTCCTATTTCGGACTGCAACGTCAGCTCACGGAAAGTTCCGTCCGACTTCGGACTGTTGTACTTGGATGCAGAGACTTCCGTTGGATTTCAGACACTTCTGTTCGATTTCGTACTCGTGAGCAGCTCCTTCTTAAATTATTTCGAAGCCTAGAGATGACGTCACAGTGTGGCAAGAACAGAAAAGTGGGACAAGAGGCACAGCCGAGTGTGTCATTTATGTTCTTTTCTTTTGGTGTCTTCTGTGGTTTATTACTGGAATCAATTTTTTTTTTATATCACAAAGAAGCTAAAACTTTTCATTGTGACGATATTTATGCCTCTGTCCTTCACTAGATCATAATCAAGAACCAATCAAAATGCATGTATAATTCACCTTATTATTTATTAAATAGATTTAATTAAAAGTAAAAAAAAATAGCAAGTAAACAAGAAAACACTTTGCAAGCTGATCACCCTGTTGGACAGCCTGAGGATATTAATTGTGTATGACGTCAAGCGTCCATCTGTTTCCATGTTGATGTGCGTCTGCTCAATAATAGATCCCAGATGACGTCAGAGTGTGTTAGGGACAAAAATAATGTACCTGTAGAGCAGCTGAGTGCGTCATCAGTATGTTCTTACCGAGGGTAAAGTTGTTTAGAAAATAATCAGAGAGGAAACGGAACTACTTCGATTTCGAACTTGATTAAGTGAACGAGACTTCGGGTTTTACTAGGTCAAATTACGCGTGAGTAAAATCCAACGGAAAACGATTTTGTTTTGAGGGTGCGATTTTTATCGGGAGTCGACTGTATTCAGTTCATTACGATAGTGGTGTGTCATACAATGGCCAGTTAAAGCCATGCTCCCCCCTACCGCCGGTCCCCGGGACAGAGCGGGGAATCAAAGCAGTCATTCGGGGGTTTTAATACACAGGTAGGCAAGAAGGGAACGCGAAGTGTGATAGATAGGGGGCGAACACCCCCTTTTTCCACCCAATACAGCGCAGCGGTCATTTTGGAGACGAGTCAGCAGGAGCAGGGGAAAAAACGCTTGCTAGCAATGGAGGGGCATTTTAGCGGGTATTTAGCATTGATCCATATTGGAGAGGGATCAGTTGTTGGTCTGCTGTCTTTGAAAAATATTTACAAAGAAACGGTCAGATTGGGACGTCTTTCATTACGTTCTTAGCACGCTTTGTTTTGGTAAGAGTTACATTTTTATTCTCTGTATCAAATTGCTTACCAACAAACCTTTCCTCTTCTATAAAGTGACTTCTAACTGTTAGTTCAATTTTGATCAGGAATTATAGGAAAAAATTCAGTGATAGGATTTTAACTGAAGATATGTGCCTATGTCAGGGAAATATTTGCCTCTCCTAAATATTGTGTTGATGTCATTGTCCGCCGCGCCTCCTCGCTCCAGGAGGCCAAGGCGGGGGAAGAGAGGTTGTTGGTTAGGGGCCGACCATTTAACTTTTGAGGGGGGGTGGGTGATTTTGAAAAAAATTTTTCTGCAAGCGCTTGTTGGAAGAAAAAAATTACAAGCAGCCCAAATTTAACAGAAAAAAAAAGAGCATTTAGAACGGAAAAAAATATCCTTTCCAGCAGATTGCTAGAAAAAAAATTTCTTAATGACCATAAATCACCCCCCCCCGCCACACCCTCAAAAGTTAAATGGTCGGCTCTTTGTAAAATTTCTCAAATCATAGGAAGCTGATCGAGAGGAATCCGTCATGTTTCGGAAAACTTCAGAAGAAGGAAACAGATAAGCATGCTGATCTGTCAGTTAACAGTTTGGGCTTCCGCCAAGACGGAAAATATGCAACCAACAGGAAGAACTTGGAATTGGATGCGTTATCCTATCCTATATACTTGAGTGGCTCGTACAATCATCACTATTTTATTCTGATGTGAAACCGCTGAAGTATAGGATGCAGCGGATAAATATTCACAGCGCGGTCGAGTAGTGAGATCTCAAGTTGCAATTAATCTCGTCATAGGATCAACATAAAATATTCCTTCTCTTCGGCATTCGCTCTTCAGTGGAAGTACTAAGACAATCGTCTTGCTTCGTGTTGGAGAAAGGTGAAGATGACTTCAGTGTTAAAGCGAGCATCTAAGAAGGGCAAGCCTCAGGCTCAAGGTAAGTTAAAGTTGATTTGCAGACGTCGCAAACTGGCGCGGTATATTTGGGTTAAATTTTGTATTGCATCTTTGATTCGCCTACACTTTCCGCTTAGACTAAGGTTTATTTTGTTGAACAGAAAGTGGAACGGGAAAAACATGGCTCCATCCGGCCGAAACTTTGCAGCAAGGATCTGTAGTTTATTCTGTCAAGGTAAGATGGCCTAAAATTGTTTCTTCAGACGAATATTGAAGGTGTCAAAATCAATTCCCAAGGCCGCGAAATACGTTTGAACGTGGGGTGTTCTCTAACATATTCTAGAAAACAGTAACCCATCAAAGGAAATTTATTCATCAGAGATTTCTAACGCAAAACGTTAGAGTGTATGATCTTTGAAATTCCTCCCGTCTTGCTCTCTAATCTAAGTGTTTTGGAATTCGCCATCACAGAAAGTTCAAATGCTGTCTTAGACAACCACGAGGCTAGCATCAGTTTGTGTTCATCTCTAATTCTTTTAACTAGCAGATCATATTTCTATTCAAAATACAGCAATCGCAGTTTTGGTGAGAGAAACTGTCACCATTCAAAGCGATAAGAAACTGTCTCCCATTCAAAGTCATAAATTCGCCCACATAGAAACAATAAATCTATTCCATCCCCGGAAATTGCTCGCTTGAGAACCCTTTTCTCCGACCTATAATTAGTTCTTCACAAACTCCCGATGCCATTGCCAATTCAGAAAATTAAGTCGCAGGCCAAACTGTTTGTAATTGTCAAGGGCATTTTTTATCCTGAAAGTTCCTGTCGTAAATTATTTTGAAATTAGTGCTGGTTGTTGAATTTTAAACATAATATATTCGCACAATGCACTTAACTTTTTCGTTAACAATCTGATTCAACTTGATATGTCGCGGAAAATTTAACTCTGTAGTGAAAGCTGAGAAAACCTGTCCACCGGGGGACCACTGACAGCGAGTCTGTCTAAAACGGCAAATGACTTCCTTTTGTTTTGTGTCATTCATATTATAAGTCGACGGGCTTTCACTTACACAAGTACTAGTTGTACAAATTAATTTGCATTCAACCTTTCAACACGAGCACTTTGAAAAGAAGTAGTTCTTTTTCTTAAAATAGCGAATGTCTCAAGAAATATTTTTTAAGTTCTATTTTGACCCACGATGGGAAATATATTTAATTTTGCTCTTAATTTGACTGCTCCATTAACTTTCACGCGGCAAGTGAAGAATGTTATTGTGTGCGCACTCGGTTGGATTAGAAATTGGTGATTATGTAATGTTACATTCTCTGTCCATAGCTTCTAGGGTCTACAGACGTACCCCAAGCAAAAGGGACAGACATTGTTAGGGAAGCTATAAAGAAAGTCAAGGTAAAAATTGATAAAGAAAGGTAGTTAGGGTAATTCTACATGATAATTATGAGTTTGGCAAATATCACAATGGGCATTCTTAACAAGCAAATATGACTGTATGAATGAAATTGCATTCAATATTTCTACAATTATCATGAAAATTCAATATCAGTGTTGTTACGTCAGCACTATACAGACATTCACTGTTATTTGGGGGACAAAATTTCTGTGGAAAGAAAACCATGAAATAGAAATTTTTCCCTTTCCTTTTCATAGAGAAATGATACAATGTACAAGATATCAGATGCCCAATATAGTTTGATTTTGTGCCAAATTCCTGCAATAAATTTTCAAGGAAGAGCATTGTGGCTAGAAGGGAGAATTTGGAATCCAATATTGGGAGTCACTTGCAAGGGTTTTTGAGGCTTGATGTATTGTTTGAAAGCAATGTATAGATATTTGTTGTTGGAAACTGTGATATTTAACTGAGCACGAGTTTTATTTATAGTTGAAGTACTGTAATGGAAGAATTACATTTGCTTAAAGGCAGAATTAACTGATGAAAATAAACTTTGTGTGATAAAAATAAAAAATGAACTGATCAAAAAGTGTTTCGTTTTGATTATATAAATGAAATAATCATGGCAATTTTTAAGAACACGTAATTTGGAAGTTATGGATACTAGTTTGGAAACTTAAACACCATGAATTAATTTGCAACATGTAAAGGACCAAGCTCTTACTTTAATACTTGTCCCTTAAGACTTGTCTCAGTAAAATAATGATATCTTCAATGTTTTTGTAATACAGTAATTGGTTTTATTCAAGGTGTAACATTTGAATGGGTGGGTAGTGTGACCATTTTGGTGAGAGGTCTAGGGAAGGAGCCATTGTCTGCTACATCAACTGATCTGGGAACTAATCTTATCTATATATAACAAAATTCTAGAGTGTGATTGGTTATGACTAGCCTTTTTAGAACACCATTAGGACAGTGTATGTTCATGCTTGTAACTGGATGGTGCACACCTCATATGCGCATGCTTGTTGTGTATTTCACTGAGTTAACTATAATTTTTACGAACATGTAGAACTGATGTCTGGTTTGTTTCTCAAATTTTGTTGTAGTCCAACTCTGTTTGTTATGGTACTTGTAATTAAAAAATCAAATTCCCAATTGGCAGTCATCTGACTTTGTTAATCACTATATGTATGATTACTGATGGATTTGGAGTTTACTCAGTCCTAATGACCACTAAAAACCTGTGTGGAAGTAATAAGTAGAGTAAAAAATTTAATCATGTGCTAATCCTCAAACTCCCAGGCTCTGATTGTTAATTCTCCTGTCTACCTGTGACACATTTCCTTGTAAATTAGTCACTAGAAAATTGAGTGAGATCAAGACAACAACTTGTGCCAGATATATTTGAGTATTATCATTGCCTGTTTGTTGGATAATGACTGGATAGTAAAAGGAGAAGTTGTAAGTTCATCACTTCTGGGAATTAAAGGGTCAATAGGTTCTGAATACATGCAGTTTTAGAGGGCTATGATGACAGTGTTTTTTTTTATTAACAAGTGATAATGTCTGAATTTTCTTTTGTTGTAGTTTGCAAATCATATCAAAAAGAGTGAAGCTGGTGTGAAAGGAAGTAAACTAAAAAAGGTTGAGATAAAGATATCCATCAATGATATCAAAGTAGAAGATGTCAAGACAAAGGTAGTTTTGGTTTTCACTTGGTTCTCTGTGTATCTGTCTGTCAGTTTTTCCATTCACTCTGACAAATGGCTAAGCCCTGAAACATCAGCTTTTAAACTCTTTGGCCAATTAACCTTATAAACTTAGTTGATAAAACCAAATTACCAAGTCACCCCCACTGGTGCAGCACCACAGTTTCTTTAGAAAGTTACCCCCTTTATTTATTTGTCCATGTGTCTGCCTGTATCTCTGTTAGAAAATCAGTTACTTTTTTATCATCTTTCTCAAATCTTTTCTCTTAATTTTTTTTTTTTACAGGAGGAGCTATACTCGTACCCATTACACCGTATATCTTACTGTGCTGATGATAAACGGGATAAGAAGCTGTTTGCTTTTATTGCCAAAGATTCTGGGCAACAGCATCATAACTGCTATGTTTTCGAATGGGAGAAAATGGTAAGACAGGATCATGGTTTAAATGAAATGTAATATCAAGATATGGCTGATGTGGAAAAAATTTGTAATTTTAGAGCTATTGCTTCATCATATTATTCTGTGTCATTTAGTGCCTGCCATACAGCTCATATGTTGTTAGTTCCAAGAACTGTGTATCAATAGATCAAAAAGTATTCTCCTGATTGATGTTTTTCTTTATTCTCATTACTTTTCTGCTTGATATTATATTGATATGTAAGGAGAAATTCTGTCTTGGTCACTCATGGTAGTTAAAAGTTAAGACGAAAGAAACCCTATAATACATGAATTAGTGACTTTTGTTAAAAATTTTAGTCATCTGAAAATGTTATCTACTGCTATGGCAAGAAAAATCCTGATTTGTATAATTGTAACGATAGGCATTTCTTTTCCTTTTTATTTCAAATTTCAGGCAGAAGAACTAACCTTAACAGTGGGACAAGCTTTTGATCTAGCTTATCGGCGGTTCCTGGAAAAGAAATCTCTTAATGACAATTCAAAGAAAAAATTAACTGAGATGGAAGAAAAAATCAAAACTGCTGAAGAAGAGAAGGAGGCATTGAAACAAAAGATTGCTGAACTTGAAATAGCTGCAAGCCAAGGCTCAGGACCTCCATCAAGCAATGGAAGTAATGAAGTAAAGTATTTGACATTTTTTTTTTCATATAATTTGAATGTATTAAGTATAATTGTAGTATTTTTTCCTCACTTTCTACACATTGTCAGTCATTTTAAGAAATGCTGAAAGCAACCTATACTAAAAAAATTTTCATGAATAAAGGGGATAATTTTCTAAAGAAACTGTGTTACTGCATCGGTGTGGGTATAACAGGATAATTTGGTTTTATCAACTGAGTTGATAGATGTAAATTGGCCACTGTGAAGAGTTTCCAAGGTGATGTTTCAAGTGTTAGCACTTTGTCATTCGCTCTAATGAAGAGGTAACACTTGAAAGGTAGGCTTAGAAACTCTATACATTTTCATGGTTTCAGCAATTGTTAAGGGGGGGGGGGGAGAAAATGAGATTGTTCATTTGATAAGAGAGGGGGGAGGCTTTTTTTTTTTTTTTAAAGTTTGGGATATATGCAGAGCACTCATTTAAAGGGAGGGTCTTATTTGAGGTTGTTTGATATTTAGCAGAAAATATTTCTCTTTGGTTTCTACACTTTGACTTAGCCCTGGACAAAGAAAGCTTATAGTAATACTGGTTGATATAGGTTTTGTTTCTCTTCAAACATGAAAGGTACTCACTAAAAGGTCCTATAGATTATAACATTTTAAGGGCTAACTAAAAGAAGTTCCCAATCTTAAAGGAACCATTAAACCTCCTACACCCTAACATCAGTATGCATATTCTCCATACTTTTCTCTATACATTTCTTAAGGAGCTGTCAAGAAGAATTTGTGTAACGATCAAGAGCTTCTTTTGTTGATGATCATTTTTTTTCTTCATCCAAGGGTGAAATTGGAAGGAGAAATTAGATGTTAATCACACTTAGGAGTCGAAGGGTAAAATGCATCATGACTCAATTCCACAATGAAACCAGGAAACTGAACAGTTTGATTTCATTGTGAGTGGTCAGTTAGAGGACTGGTGTTCTGATCATCACAGTAATGTTCAGGAAACACAGGCAAACTTCAAATCCAAAACCTAATTACTGTTGCTCTTTGGGATTCAGTTTTCCAATGCCTGATTAGCTGTAATCTTGAACACACTAACATCTGTTAAGTAATCCTTGTTTTCACTGTTTTTAATTTTCCCAGTAACAGTTTGAGAGTTCAGAGTTGGGGTTAGGGAATCCAAAGGTCTTAGGTTTGATTCCTCATGGAGACTCTGAATTTTTTCTTGGTCCCATGCTTGAGACATAATGAACCACATCTTCAGTTTGAGAGCTCTGTGAATTCTGGAGATCCTTGTCAATTATCAATTTTTTAAATTGCTTTCTCAGGGTAACCGGAGCCAGTCCGATCCAGATGAATTTGATCTCTTGGGTAGCTTCAGTTCATCTGTGATGCCAGTTTCATCACCACAAGACACAGCACCTGTTTTCCCTCAGGATACAACCAGTCAAGACATGTTCTTTGATCCTTTTGTGCAGATACCACTATCTCAGCCTCAAACAGCTGCTCCTACATCACCTGACTTAAATGAATTTTCACCACCACCTATGAATCCATCTGTGCCCAGACCAGCGACTAAGGGAATGCTACCAGTTGCTCTGCCTCCTCCACCAACAAAAGAAAGTGTAAAGGCAGCAAATCGAATGAAAACCAACACTGGTAACACAGCTCCAGTCATGTCACCCCCAGTTGTGTCACCCCCACCACAAGTAGAAACTCCACCTGTGTCTCAGCCAGCTCCTTCAGATGGTAAGAACATCAATTAACCCCGTAATTCCCAAGATCTGATTTTTAATTTTCCTCTCTAACTGGTACACATTTCCTTTGAAATTAATAATGATAATTTAGTGTTAGATCACAATAACGATCTCTGTTTGATACCTTTGAGTATTCTCATTACCTGTTAGCTGGATGATGTATGGATATTCTAGGGAGAAGTTACATGTTAATCACTTCTGGGAGTTAAAGGTGAACACCTGGCCCTAGTTGTCGGAAGGGTGTCTAACACTATCTAAAGGATCATGGTGCACTATCTGGTGGATAACACAGTACATTTTGTTCACATTCATCTGGTGGAGAGGAATTACAATGTTGGATTGTGTTATTTACCCTTTGAACAAGAGGGCCCAAAACATTCAGTTTTTTAAAAAAAGTTAATTTTATTTTGTATTTGGAAATGATCACAAAAGCCTGACTCTTTACAAGTAAAAAGGTAACTCAAAGACACATGGAAACAATGAATTTTCTGGCACTTTTATTAATAATAATAATAATAATAGTAATAATATTCACTGCTAATCGCCGTCGCAAAGCACAGCAATGACGCAGCTCAACAAGGTTGAACCGAAAGCTTTCATATAGACCAGTAACCCTTTTACTCACAGCAGTTACGGAGACATACATGTACTTTCTCCTTGCAAAACCAAGACAATATTAAGCAGACAAGTGATGAAAATATAGAAAAATATCAATGAGGGGATTATCATTTGGTCTAGCACTTCATTCCCAGAACTAAGTATATAAGCTATGTATGGCAGGTAAGAAGGAGAGTGTTAGTGAATAGATTAAGGGAGTGAAAGAGTTAACCAATCTAATAGTGACTTTGAACTGCCAAGATTCGAAATTGTAAGATTTGGTAGGAATTCTATTAAATATATGGGACCTCTCATTTGGTCAAAGTTACCAAGACACCTAAGAACTATAGAAACTCTTAAACTCGTTCAAGAAGAACATAGTAAAGTCGACCTTTCAACTCTTGTTGAAATTTAAAACTTAACTAAATAACTTTGTAATCTTTTAATTATGTACTGTAAATAACTATTATCTACATAATTATGTAAATGTATTTGACTTTTAAATTTTTCAGTGTCCCTCATTAGCTTATAGCTAAAAACAGACTTAAATAAAGTTTTTCATTCATTCATTCATTCAATAGCAGATTTCTGAACAGAATGCTGACTTTAAGGACCACAGGCTATCAGAGTTTAGATGAAGAGTTCTGTACAGTATCCATAAAATTCTGCAATCTGTGATTAATGCTGTGTTCAACCTTACTAAATAAATACAGACAATGTGCTACATTAATTGTTACAATGTTACATACAGTCAAGATAGATCTAGGACTGTTTTATAGCTGAATTATTTTCTCTTTACATTAGATCTGCTACAACTGACTAGTGGCCACTCAACCAATCCATTTTCTAGTGGTCTTAATGGTGCTGATCCATTTGCGGATGATGATCTGTTTGATCCTTTTGCTTCTAAAAACAACTTCTTTGACAATGAGAAGGAGATCAATCAGAATTTACCGGTTTGTTTTTCATTGGTTATGTACATGTACCTATTATAGAGACATACTTCTTAGTAACAAATGTGAGTTCTTAGCAACAAATGTAAGGTCTGTACTTTAAGTCACAAGAAGAGAAACGAGGTTTGCATGCAACTAAATATATTTATTTAATCTGTGGGTTCAAGTAGAGAAGGAAGATTTAAATTCAAACAAAGGTACAAGTTCAGTGGGCCATACAGTGCAACACAGGCAGCTAAACTGACCAATCGTGGCCCATGAACTAATTGAGAGATTTATGAAAAGTGTTAAATTAATCTTTGAATGTATGTGTTATGTAAGTGTTATACACTCAACATTCAGAGACTTTAATTCAATAGGCTGTCAACAGACTTGCATTCCAGTGAAGTGTGATTTAAGAATGTATCTTTGTGTCTTGTCCTTACAGAGTGCATTTCCAAGTGACCTAGTCCTTCACTAAATGGAAGAAAATCTTGGCAAATTACAGGTAAAATATTTTTTGTAATAATGTGTTTAATCTAAGATTGATTTTCAGTGGTAGAATTCAGCAGTAGAGGACATTTCCATTTGCACTTGGCCTATTCTAAAACAAGCGATGTAGCAATGTTTTTTGTCAGTTTAGCTGTTCTGCCTGCCAAGATGAAAATCTTTTGTTGCTTATCACCAATTTGTCATGGGCAAATGAGAGGATATTTAATTCTTTTCTTACTTTAAGTTGCATTTCGAAATGCACTTATAATTGATCAGGGCGTGTTTTGCATTTAAAATGTGTGAACCATTTGAAACTTTCTTGTGACTAGGGAATGGTTTACCACTATTACACACTACTTTCTTGGTAAGTTGAAAGCTCTAACTGAAACTTGAGTTTCTTGGTCTGTTCTGTTGATAATGAATCCTTGTTTCCCCTTTGATTTAAGGCCTGCACACTTCTTGCCTAGGTCATCAATGGAAGGGGCTGAAATTTGGAGTGCATCTTACCATAAAAATTATAGAACTTAAAGATAAAGTTAGTTGAGGTTATGCTGTGTTTCTCCCTTCAGGCAGTAACTGGTAAAATTTACCAGCTATAGTTCCTCTCAATGGGTCAAAGGATTGTTTTACTGGTTTTCTAGTTTCCTTTACCTGTCATGCTTAAAAGTAAGGAGAACAGGGGGGGTATATTTTTAACAACTTAATGAAAATTATTGTCATTTTCTCATAGCAACAAAGATGTTCTTAAACACCAAAAGTGGACAACATAATTCAGAGAAGAAATGGATCCAGTATAGTTATTGTTCACAGCGCATTAATATTGTGACTTGTATATTTAAATTAAATGTGATATTTCTTGATAGTGAGAAAAGAAAAAGATTTTTTACTGTGAAGACATTTTTGAGTGAGTGATCTTAAAACTTGTGTAGATATAGTGCTAACCAACTTAAAATTAATAGTAGGATGCCGCTGATAGAAACGTTAAAGAATGAAAAGCAAAATTATAATTTTTAGATATGCCTAATTGGTATTACTGGTATTCCTTTACAAATTATGTGACAGATGCTAGATTTAATGTCAATTATCCTTTGGTAATACAGTTTGTTATCATTAGTGAGTCCTCCTTTAATTCTCAGAATCCAGTAAGTAATGTTCTTTACTAAGTTCTATATTTCCTTGTAAATTAGACAGGAAGAAATTGGTGTTACATAAAGGTGATGCCTTTAAGTTGATAAGTATGTCCGTTGTCATGGCCTGTTTGCGAGATAACCTATTGGAATTGTAAAGAAAAGTTAGATTAAGCATGAGATTTCATGGCAACAGTTAAATGTAAAAATATGAACTGTAAGCAAATATCTTGTTAATATATATTTTTTTGATGCACTAAAAGGGTTGAAAGAAGCTCAGTTATGGTCACTTCACATGGATGTCATGCATAACTTCTTTACTTTCTTGGAAACCTCGTAGGATGAACAAAAATGGTTGAAGATAAAGACTTTGCTTTAGTGAATTAATTTCCTGTATCTTGGTGTTATAGTAAAATAATACTTGTGATGCAAAATAGTTCTTCAAATGACCAAAGAAGTTTAATATTAACTGAAAAGATTATGAACTTTATAGTGTTTTAATTAAAAAGATTGCAAGGAAAAAAGGATTGATAAAAATTTTCACAGGTCATGATTGAATGTTCTCCCTTGAGGAAAATTAAGATGTAAAGTTCCCATGGAATATATCAGAAAGAAATTGGTGTGTGATGTAGGTGTAAAAAGCAAGAATTGCAATGACATCAAAGAACAGGTGATCACTCAATGCAGCAAAGAAAGTGAGTGATTTTTATTTACAACATATTGCAGAAAATCAAACCTGTCAGACTGTGCAGTGTGTTTCCCTACACAAACATGTTTGCAAGAGGAATTTTTTGTCATAGTTGGGAAACTGTTAGACTTTGATTTGTAGAAATATACCTCTTTGCCAGTGTTACCTGTCTGGTAAGTCAATAAGAGGAGACAAAAAGATTTCCTGGTTCTGTTTCAACTCTAGAGAGAGGTCTGTGGAAATGAGTTTACATTGTGCTGGTGTATTTCTCACCTAGGTTAAGTCAGGTTCCATTAAAAGCTGGGTAGCTTTGGTCTACCTCTGCCTGTAAGACCTCAACGATGCCTGTCTAGCCTGCAAGCAGGCTAGCTCTTGTGTCTTGGTTTTGCACTCTCTTATCACTTCCTATTATACCATAGGCAGCCACTTGTGGAAGAAGTTTTTGAAAAACCCCAATGTTAGTAAGAACTGGTCACAGTTCAGGATAATATTATCGGCGACGGACCCCATTACAAAAGAAAATACACTGTTTTGGCTTATTTCTTGTTATGGAGGAGAATTGGTGTCGGTGGTGATCACTTTGATAAGGCCTTGTCATTGAAAATCAAGTTGTATGATCAAATCACTAGGGAGTTGTTCTGTTCAGTCTCCAGGCATATCTGTTATTTAGTGCTTATTAAATGTTGTCAACTGACATTTATTACCACTCGAGTTGAGGAGGCTTTGAACTGAACAAAGTATTTATTTGATATAAATGTGTTGGTGTTGAATTTTATATAAATTGATAACTGTAGCTCTTTAGTTAATATTGTGAAAATTAGTAACACTGAAATAAGGTCCCATATTTTTTTCTAGGGCTAATTCACTGATATATTTGTATTAGTAATTTTTAACATGTATTTTATGATAAAATGATTTCTGATAGTACATTAAGAAGATTTAAGCATATAACAGTGTCTTGTTTATATTTTCATTAAATAAATGAAATGTGACAAACTTTGAAATGAGTTATCATTTTTCAATTGTACTGTGTTGGCAAGTAAAGGAAATTCCTGGTTATCAATTACCTGTTGGAAACCCTGTAAAAACTATAGAGCCTTTGTTTGGCCCGAAAATATTCCCTCATATTTGTTACCCCAGACACTTTCTGTTCCTTGAAGCACGCAGTTTCTTTGAGCTTTGTTATAAAAAAAAACTGTTCGCCAGCAGTTTTGACCTCCTACATGAGTTAGAGACAATTTTTTTTCAGGTTGATAGCAGTAAAGAACTAAGTGAAGAGATGGTGAAGATTCAGTCCGTGTTGTCGGATGATAAAGACGATTGGGAACACAGACTAGCTGCAGTACATATTGCATTTTGCAAGCTTTCCCTCGTGGGGAGATTTTCGATGATGTGTCACCAAAGCAAAACGACAGTGATCACAACGGCCAATAAGAAACCCTGTAATAACTATAGTAGTAAATTCTGAAAAGCTGGTGTTTCAAGAATCAGCCATTCCATTTGGTTGCATAGAAAAATTTTCATTGAAGTGCTGAAATAATCCATGATTGCTTTTATAGTTTCACTTTGCTCTGTGATTGGTCCAGAAAACACGAATTTATCTCTCAACCAATCAGATGCAAAGATGAAACCAATCTCAACTTGGTCACCCATGTTTTCCCTAAAGGTAGTATGCTTGTTATACTTTGAGTTCTCCATGGCTCCTGAAGTTATTTTCCTCCTTCTGATTGGCTGTTATAATTACTTTGGTTACAGCTTTACAACAGAATACACTCAATCAAATTACCTAGCAAACTAATTCTAATTTAACACAACATTTACAATGTGAAACTTGGATAAAAAATTCCCATGTCCTTCGCTTGATCAACGTAAGTGATGAGTTCAGCCTAACAAAAAGAAAATTTGTATATATTTGCATTTTAATTTTGTTCAAACAAAACTTTTTCTGATTGTTGACATGAAATTGTTCGGAAATTATGAATGTATATATGTCTATATATGTATGTACATATACATGTACATATACATACCCTCCCTCCCTTGTGGAGACACAGTGGCCTCATAGTTAGTGCCCTCAACTTTGGATCGAGTGGTCCAGGTCCGAGCCCTGGCTGGGGACATTGTGTTGTGTTCTTGGTGAAAATAACTTTACTCTCACAGTGCCAGTCTCTTCACCCAGGAGAATTAAATGGGAACCGGCAAATTTAATGCTGGGGGTAATCCTGTGATGGACGAGCATTCCATCCAGGGGGGAGAAGATATACTCCTACCCACTTCATGCCACAGAAACTGGAGTTAAGCACCCAATGGGCCACTTAGCTTGTAAGCAGGCTTTACCCTTTTCTACCATATATGTACCCCATAACATGAAAATTTTTTGGAGTTTCCTCTTGACAATTGGCAACATTTTGAGTTCTTTGGGATAAATCAAAACCATTGAGATGCCATATTTGAAACTTGGCTTTTCTCTTATTTTCACCAACATAATTTTACCAACATTATCCTTAAACTCCCAAAAGTGATCAACATGAAACTTTTCAGTATAAGATCCATAAATTATCCAGCAAACAGGTAATTAGAACATTCAATCCTATCAGGTAGAAATTGTTATGTTGATCTTGTAACTACTTCTTGTAACTAATTCTTGTACAAATTCTTGTAACTAATTCACATGGAAATGTGTAGCACCTAGAGGGGAGAATTAATAATCAGATCTAGGAAGTTAGTGGGTTAAGAAACTTTCCAGAAAGCCTCCAATGTGTTAATTTTATCTTTTTTTTTTTCTGATTCAAGTTCAAAATAATTTCATGTTGGCTATTTTTGTCATTATTTCTCCTAACTTTTAGACAGCTTCAACCAGTTTTGCATTGATCTGACTTTTGGCCTGAATCAATTATTTTTTTTAAATCATACAATTCTTCTCTTATCAAAAAAATTTCCCCAATTGTTAGACTGATCTGTGGTTTCCACTGGTGTGGTTTCCACCAATAGCGTAGCTCCACTTTCTGCATATAAATCCACACAACCCACAATTCCTCTATTCACTCTGACTGGGGCTAACACTCAAAATGTCAGCTTTTTACCTCTTTACAGTGGCCAAGTTACAATTTCAATTTAGTTGGTATAACCAAATTACCTTGTTACCCCCACCGACGCAGCACCACAGTTTCTTTGAAACTGACCCCCTTTATCTATGAAATATAGTTTGTTGCACTGTTTTCTCAGATACACCATCTGAGTAAAAACACAATTTTATTGTTCCAGACCACGTTCTTGAGGTTTTGTTTGCTCTTCATGCACTGCAGCTCTTGTTTCAGTTGGAGTGGCATTTTTATCTGTAGGCTCCTTGTTGTTCATGTCTCTGAATCTTTTTAAATCAGAAATGACATTCTCTAGTGTTCCAACTCTTTTCCTTTGTAACCGTTCTGCAAGATAATGAGAAATATATCAGGTGAGGATAAGGCTGACTATGCTGCGAGAGACACAGGGACCCAAGCTCTGGGTTGAGAGTTTGCAGTTTGAGACCTGGATGGTTCTTTGTGTTGTGTTCTTGGGAAAAACACTTTATACCATCACAGAACCCCTCTCCACCCAAGAATAATAATGGTAGTGGCAAATTGTTGCAGAAACCTGATGAAACTCAAGAGGGGGGAAAGTTGGTGGGGAGGATCAGGGTAATCTTGCAATGGACTAGCAACATCTCCAGGGAGGGAGTTGTATACACTCTAGCTGCATGGGACTCTTGGCTCAAGTACAGACTTTACCTCTACCTAAATATACCTAAGTCTGTAATGTAGCCAAATGGCCCACTCAGGTGGAGATTGTATGGGTTTCATAAAGTCACAAGGAGTTCTGCCACACCCAGGGAGATGTCTGTCCATTGCAGGCTACCCCCCTGCATTTTGTCAGGTTTCCTGCCATACAGTTCTTATGATGTTAGTTCCAAGAACTTTCTATTAGATCAACCAGTATCCCCCTGATTTATATTTTTCTTTATTCTCATTACTTGAGAAATTCTGTCTTGGTCACTCAGGCCCATTTTGTCAGGTTTCCTGGCTGTATGCCTCCACCCATTAAACTCCTGGGTGGAAAGATGCAGCATGAGAGTAAGGTGTCTTACCCAAGAACACACTGGGACCTCTTGACCGCTGGACTGGAGTCAAGCATGCTAACTATTTGGCCACTGTTTCTCCAAAAATGGGAAATATGAGACTCCTTTATGTATTATTAACACTCTAACAAGGCTTTCCTTTCTCCCCCACCCCAACTGAAAAAAGAAAAGAACTGAGTTAAATAAGAAATTCTTTACTTATGCATGGCATGGTATCTTTACATCAGAGAGACAGCTGTTTTGTGGCACAGGAGTTATAAGCTTCTGTCATGGGACACAGAAAATCTCTGAGTCCCCAAACAGACCTCTGATTTCGTACTCTATTGCCATATCAGTGAGCAACAGATAACTTCTTACTAGTAAGAAGTTACTATTAGAAGTAACAGCTCTTTGCTGTTACTTCGATTTGTTCTTCAAAAGTATATGGCATTTTGAGAACAGGTCAGAAATACATTTAACAACTATGTGAACAAAACAATAAACCAACCCTAAACAGAATGATTAGTCATACCAGTCTTAGGAATTTTTCTGGTTATAAGTGACGTTTCATCTATGGACTCTTCTGTGTAATCAAATGCTGATGGTTCATGTGGTCTGAAAAAAACATGTGAGTGACACCACCATGCATGAGAAGAAAATCAGTGAGAGCAAATCACAGTTACACAATATCTTGCACCACCAGCTCATTACTTTTCAGCAGTGGTACACAGATGTGTGATAGGCTTTCCTCTCTGGAAACTGAAGTGAAAGAGGATGTCAGTTTATTTCTCTTTGCTGCCAAGAGGTAAATATAGTAGAACCTCACTAACCCCTATTTTTTTTTTCAGTCATTTATAATTGGCTGTCTCAAACCCACCTAATTCCAACCCTTTTAATGGTCTTCCTAAGGATCTCAAGTTAGTGAGGGTCCCACTGTAGTTATCACCTGAGCTAGCCTATCAACACGCACAAAAACCACTATTCACCTTTATGGTATAAATTAATTGCCAGTCATTGGATGGGGCTGCACATGATGTATAATGATATAACTTATCTTATCAAAAGACTATTGGATAGTGCAATTCAAGGGTTTTAATTGGCTTTGCAACATTATACCATGCAAGTAAATGATCAAAATTATGAGTAAATGAGTAAAATTGGGAAGATTTATCTATATTTCTGAGCGTTCTTCATAAAACAATTATTTCACTCGCGCTTGTTGGATATGAGATGACTATCTATCATCTCATATCCAACGCGCGCAGTTGGTAAGTCCAGTTAGTGTCCCCAGTTAGTGGTTGTATAACTGCTATTTTAGATTTGACACATAAATAAAGGTTGTTGTTGTTGTTGTTGTTGTTGGTCGATTTCGCGGGCCGTATTTCACTGTACGGCCCAAAGGTAATCTATTGTTTTCTCCCTTGATTTCTGCTATCATAGATCTGCATCTATTATGAACTGTAAGGTTACATAGAAATTATGCCAAAATATTCTCCAAGGCTATATAGCCCATGCAAGTTTCAAGTTAATAGTCAAATTAAAAACTCACTTTTCTTTTTCTGTTTTGGGGACGGTTGAAGTCTCATCGGTTCCAGTAGTTTTCATATCAGCAGTCACCTCACCAAAGTCCTCAGCTTCTTTATTTTCTTGCTCTCTTGTCTCGCTAACGACATTGTTTCCGCCACTAATACTTCTGTATTCTTGAACTTTCAACTCTATATACCCGTTCTTCTCGATCTCGCTGTAAAGTTGTAGAACTTTTAAGGGAATCTCCCATTTCTTTTCACCCTGGATTTGTGCAGCTTCAGCACTGTCCTCTTCGCCGTCACTACTCGGTACATTCCAATCACTTTCTTTGTCAGACATTGTTATTCAGTTTACTACAATTTATTCGGAAAAAAAGCCCGCCATTTTGAATGAAGCATGTATGTTATGTATGACAACACAAATTGTACTCTATGTCATGCGTCAAGCGTGCGATTATGAAAATGTCTGTGAACTGGGGTTTATTGGAGCGTGAGACTACCCAATCAAACTTTACTTTTCTAATATGGAGTTGTTTATCTTTTCATAAGCTTCTGTCTTGACACAGAGTATACCACGATAAGCAAGATCTCTCGCGTGAGGAGCCTCCACGCGCGTTTATACGAGCGCATGCCATTATTAGCCACCCATTACAAGACCAGCGAAAAAGGTTGATAAAACAACGATGACAATGAGTTGCGTCAAACACAAATTCATGAATGCAGAAAACAATAGTCCGTGAATGAGTCGCCCTGACTATTAGCGCTGGAAGACGCGTTCCTCTGCCCCTCGAGGATTCGAGTCAGGGAGAGGTTTGATGGGGGCCTGGCTCTAATAATCAGTGATATCAGTAACCAACTTGTTCTTCAGCTACATAGACACCTTAGAAATCAGTGCTCTTATACGCCCTCCACTTTCCCTGGAATACTTTTTCGAGAAACGGATGTTTAATAAGGGAGAGCCAAATCCGACCCGTTACAGAGTGAAGTATTTTTGGTTGTAAAGTCTATAATATTGAAGACTGACACAATTAATCGCTTTGAAATAGAAGTGGCAAGACACTTTGAGGCTCAGTTCGTAGTTTTTCAGAGTGTTTATTGGAGGACAGGTTCTCCTGCTTTAAAAAGGGTCATAAATGTTTATTAAAAGGGGTGGGGAAGATTACAAAACGCACCTAAGTAACTGTCCCTTCTCATCGACGTTCTGAAAGAACATTTTTCATCGCATCATTAAAGAGTAAGCCTTGAAAGTTAATCGTCTTCACATAAGGAGACAAAAAGGCTAAAGGCGAAGACTTTCTATGGGAGTTCGAAATCTATGATAATTCTGTTCCTGTTGGAGTTGCTTTCTGTTCTTTTTAGAAGTTTCTCTTCACCATCAAGGTGGACAATTTCGACAATCAAGATATAGCTGGTAAGATTCAATGTAACTCAAGGTTCTCTTCATTGGCATGATCACAAATTTTGTTTTATTTTCTATTAATACAGCTCACCTTTCATCGCTTCTAGTTCTATCACTGTAGATGCCACAACTTCACTTATATTACTACAAAATTCGTTCAGCACAAAAATAAAATACGAGTGAGCTTTCAGTTTATTTATATAGCAACGAAACTCCTTTCAAACACATACTATAAAACTTTTAAACTGCAATAACAGGCTGAGTAAAAACCAACAACAAATATAATAGAAAAAATTTTATTCAGACTCGGAGGAGATTTGTGATTAGGCAAAGCAGTGCCTTGCGAGGCTTGATATAAGTTCTCTCCGCTACATCTAACTCATGTTTAATCCTTAGATTCCATCGACTGCCTTTGTCATCAAACGTCGAAATATTAAAACACAATATACAGGTGGCTACCAAACGCTAAGCCGTACGGGTTAGGACGGTATGATGGAAACAGGCTGGTCCAATTTCAAGCTTGAAGTCTTGTTCTTTACCGCCGATGTCATAGGCTGAAACATCCATGATTGGTAGTCTATTCCTCTCTCTGGTATCAATCTCTAGAACTGTCTTTTCCCATTTACCCGTAGAATCGCTTTGCTGTAAAATCAATCAAAAATGATCGTCACTGATGATTTTTGTGTGTACACTCCCGGTAAACTGAAAACTAATTTGTCGTGTAAACAAGTAAACCATTTTACGTGAATAAGGTTGACATCTGGTTAATGACACTGATACACGACAAAAAACAACTTCTCAGTGGGGAGAGAGGTGTTCAGTCTTGAAGGCCAAAGAACCCATAATTCCCCCTGATTTGAGGCGAACATGGGGTATGGCCATCCCCCTTTCCCATCATCATGGGACGCTAGTACATCACAGGTCACTCTCCCCCGCCCGGCATTTTGTCGGCTTTTCTTACCAGTTCACTGGTACCCATCTGTACTCCGGGATAAAGAGGGGCACTCTTAAATTCAAGGGCCTTTGCCTGTGAACAGAACTCAATGACCTGCCCTGGAGTCGAACTAAGGCTTTTTGATCGGAAGTTCAGCGCAGCAACCACAAAGCCACCGCAATTCCCGTAGAGAGAACACTCCTACTGTGCCTAGAAGAGACGATGGGGAGGGGGAGGGGGACTTTGGCCAGACTGCATCC